CATCCAAGAGGAGCGGCGCGCAACCACCGCGGGGGCCTCCTGCGCGTTCGGCCGAACAGGGCCGCTGGCAATGGGCCCCAGCTCCGCCGCCAAGCGATGCCAGTTTACGAGCTGACGAGGGCCCGCGAGTCCGATGTACCAGAATGCCCCAGCTCCTGTCTCGAGGAAATAGCATTGCGCCTCCGCACGTGACGCTCCCTGTTACCAGCGCACCAGAGACAAGCGACATCGGCCGATGCGGACCGTTGTCATGCGAGGCCTCCCGAGGGTGGCCCGGCGGAATGTGGCCCCCGGGGGATGTCGGGCTGCAGGTCCCGGCGAAAGGGGAACTGCCAGTCCCTGCCGCGGCCGCCGGCCGCGGCGAGCGCAAGCCTGCGCGTGCCCCGGCGGAACCTGCCGGAGTGGGTGTCCCTCTCCTGGGGGGGGGGGGCCGGGGGCCGGGCGGGGGAGGGGGGGGGGTCGTTTTCTGGCGTAAATGAGATATTGCGGGGGCTGGATTCCTTTGTTTGGGAGCTCGATCTGCCGGGTGGGGGGGGGAGACAAGTTCTCGCCCCCACCCTCCCCGCCGCCGGCCGGGGAGCAACCACGGCCAAGGGAAGCCTCACCAAGTGGTGGGCCGCGGGCACGGAGAAACCATTCTTGCACGGTGTACCTCACGCTGTGAGCCGCCCCCCCCCCATGCGCGGCGGCCCGCATTTGACCTGCGGCCGGCGTCTTCCGGTAGCCGGCCCCACACGGGGGGGGGGGCCAGTTGCGGCTGGCCGCGCCCTCTCGCCCGCGCGCGATTCCAACTTCCCCGGAAGGCAACCTCACCTTCGGCACGCCGATACGGGGCGAAATTCCGCCCCCTCGCTCCCCTCGCCCCTCTGTCGAGACTCCGCCAGGCGGGAAAGGCCTCCCGACCCCCGGCCCCTGCCCGCCGACCGCCGACCCCCGCCCCGGAACAGAACGGCGAGAGGGGCCGGACGGCTCCCCGGGGCGACGGACACCAACTCTCCGGGCGCCCGAGTGCCAGTGCATACCGGCCGGCACGGGAAACCGCCGGCGTCGGGGGGAGGGGGGGGGGACCGGCCCGGGCGTTGCAGTCTGTTTACAGCCTCACCAGGCGTCGCGCACCCGGTGGTCCAGCGGTTGGCGAGCAGCCGGGAAACATCGGCCCTCTTTTGGTCGCGACTCCCGCCACCGTGCCGGCCGCCCATGGCCCCGGGCTCCGCCGGGCCCGTCGACGTGCGCCTGCCGCGCTGTCGGGCCCGCCCGCCCCCGGGGGCGCGACGCATGCACGCTCGGCCCCGGCCGCCGGGGCGCCTCGTAAACTCGCGACGTCCGGCCCAGGGCTCGCCGTAAGCGCCCGGCAAACGGCCTATCCCCTCTCTGGGGCCCGTCCGCGGGAGAGGGTCCATGCCTCGGACCTCCCGGCCTGGCCCCGTCCGTGGCCGTATAGCAGGGCTCACCCTCTCAACCTTGCCGCACCCCCCCCCCCCCCCCCCCCCCCCCCCCCCCCCCGCCCCCTTGTAATCTCGTATGCCCCCTCCCGCTGGCCATGCACATGCCATCGGCCTC